GCAGGGGAGGGAAGGGGAAGCCAGGGCGGCGGCCCTTCAGGGCGATGCTGTGGTTTCCCAGGTCTGGAATCGCTGCGGGAATTGAGGGGTGCGGCGAGCGGGCCGGCTCTTAGGGCAGAAAGCCGCTGTCTGTCGCCTGCCCTGGGTGAACCCGGCGCGGGGCAGGGAAGCGACACGCGCGCTCTCACCTTTCCTGGTGCAGATTTTGGCCGAGAGCTCACGCCCAGACGGTGCCTTGAGTTCTCTCCTGGACGCCACCTATCTCACCTTTGCAACATTTGGCAAGTTCCGGTTACTTCCGAAATATTTACATTTTATTTATATCACAACCCATTAGCGAGGACGGAAGACTGTACTCACACGCTGGTACGATTGCAGCTTGGTGCACTTTATAAATAATAGGTATTCACGATTCCTTTCACGGGATTTCACCTCTAGCAAAAACTGCGCTCTTTGGAAAGTGTTTTGAGTACGTATGGATTTATCAGAGACAATGAGTGGACAGTGGAAGAGTGGGGAGTACCTGACATTTGGGTCACCCCGTGCTGTCCTGCCCTGTGCCTGTAGTCTGCTCCTTTATGAAAGAAAGTAGTGAGTGAAGAACGTTTTCTCCCTTTGCTAACCAGAGCTGCATTACATCTTCAAAGAACGAAACCAGTTGTGTGTAGCCCTGCTTCACAGTGCTTTGAAACCAGAAGAAAATGACATTGTGACTTCCCCTTTCATACTTCACCAGTGTGGACCACTTGACAAGGATGTGTCAGGGAAGAGCTGATCAGAAATCAGTGGGCACCGTTTTCTTGTGGATTAGCTGCTCACCTTTTATCCAATTCAGAAAGAATGTTACTGAATATGACATAGTAAGAGATACGATCATTTGAACCTAGTGGAAAATAAAACTTAATAGAACCCTTAAAGGTAGATGCTATAATCACTAAAATGTATATGGGTAAAAATGACTCTCGAGTTATGACCAACTTGGGTTATGACCAGAATTTTAGTTTTAATTTACAGTCTCGGGTTACAATCTGAATGTGGCCACTTGTGCTTCCAGATGGTCTCAGATACAGATTTAACCCTTAAAGGGTCCTAGGTGAAACATTACAACATAATTTCCTGGGTGTGGTTGAGAAATCCTGGACCAGTGTCTCTCTGAGGACACTGAGATCTGCCTGTGTACATGAGAGACATTGAAGGCTGTGTAGAGGAGCCTGAGCCTTCAGTTGCCTAATGAGTTATATCCAGCCCTTGCAAGCAAATTGAGTTCATTAAGTCAAGGGTTCACTGTATTTACACAAAAACTGATCACAATGAAAATTTCATTAAAATGTACTTTTTTCCCCCAGCACCGAGGATTGAACCCAGGGCCTTCAAACTGAGTTACATCTTCTGCCCTTTTCTGGCTCTTTTTTTTTAACAGGGTCTCATAAATTGCCCAGGCTGGCTCGAATTTATAATCATGCTGCTCAGCTTCCCAGAATGCTGGGATTACAGGGATGCACCACCACACCTGGCTTAAAGTGTATTAATTTCATTAATGTAAGTGGAAAAAGTCTCTTATGTAGATGATTGATCAAAAATTAGGTGAGGGGGCCAGGGATTTAGCTCAGTGGCACTGCACCTGCCTGGCAAGTGCAAGTTCCTGAGTTCGATCCCCAGTACCAGAGGTGGGACAAAAAAAAAAAAAAAAAAAAAAAAAAAAAACCCAAAAAACAGGTGAGCACACCTGTAATCCCAGCTACTCGGGGTTAAGGCAAGAGGTCACAAATTTAAGGCCAGCTTGGACAATTTATCAAGATGCTATCTCAAATTAAAATTTAAAAGGTAGAAAGGGCTAACCAAGACCACCTGTCATATAAAGGTACAAGATCCTAATAATGAATGTAACTGTGTTATATACCTAAAATGTACCAATAAACAATAAAAGAAAAAGAAGAAGAAAGGGCTGAAGACCTAACTCAGTGCTCCCTGGCTCCATTCCCACCACAACCACTAAAAAATAAAATAAAACAAAATAATAAAATAAAATAATTAAACTAAACTAAAATGTTTAATCAAAAAACTAAGGGCCGGGATTTAGCTCAGTGGTTCTGCTACCTGCCTTGCAAGTGCAAGGTCCAGAGTTCAATCCCTGGTACCAGGAAAAAAAAAAAGAAAGAAACTAATTTCAGCCAGGTGTTGTGTTTTGATTTGAGGGAGTGAGGTACAAATTGGATAACTGTAGATGACATCTTGCTTGCAGTATAGCCAGGTGGATAACACAGACAGGCTTTGCGGCATCTAATGCAAAATGCTCTTTCTTCCCATAACCATAATGTGCTGCATTAAACCCAAATTGCTTTCTCCTTCTCTTAGCACTATTCTACTACACGTTAGAGAAAGCAGCCACAGTCTGTGTCCAGGACTTGACATGAGCAGGGGACTCACTAGACAATTAGAACTTGGAACTAGTTCCATGTCACCACAGATCTGTGAGCTGCTGTGCTGCTCCCTTTATGAGTCATAATTTCATTTTATTATCCTGCTGTCCATACCTCATTTAACTGCATTCCTATTTACTGAGCTACCAATACGCACATCTGCCTGCAGGAACAACATGCTGTCCCTGTAGCACAGAGTGGACTGTGTGCAGCCTGCACCCTCGCTGGGTCTGCGAGGGCCAGTACTCTTCTTCCTCTTCATCCATCTGCTAGAGCTGGGCCAGGCACCCAGACGACACCTAGGAAATCTGTTTGGATGACTGGAGAAATAAAGGAAAGATTATCTTTCAAACTTGTGTCTTCCAACCTGTTAATGGGCTGGAAAATCTACTAAGGGGTATTAGTCTTGTTTTTTGGGGTTTTTTTTGTTTTTTTTTTTTTTGTTTTATACTGGAGATTGAACTCGGGTCCTTGCGCTTACCAGGCAGTCGGCGGAATCACTGGGCTAAATCCACAGCCCTTGTTTTTTGTTTTTTTCACAGTACTGAGGATTGAACCCAGGGACAGTCTACCATTGGCCTTCATCCCCAGCCCTTTTCAAATTTTCTATTATTTATTTTTGGCAGTACTGAGGATTAAACCCAGCAGTGACTTAGCAATGAATTACATTTGCAGCCACACCCCCACCCCCCACTTTTTTTTGGAGCGGTCTCACTATATAGTTAGTTGAGGCTGTCCTTGAGCTGTGTATCCCAGGTTGGCCTCAAACTTCTGAGGATCCTCCTGCCTCAGCCTCTCTAGTGCTGGGATTATAGGTGTGTGCCACCAAACCCAGCTTCTACCATCATTTTCATTTTAATGACATAGAATACAATTTACATGCTCAGTGTGGTTACATATGGTTAAGGGAGATATTGTTAAATCATCGAGACTGTTATGTGTGCTTGTGTCGTGTGGGCAGTGATATGGTTACATTTTTTTTTTTTTAAGGTTCAAAGCCACTGCTGGTAGCAAACACAAAAATACAATAGTTTACAACTGACTCTTCAACTGTCTTGCACATCATAGAGTCCTCCATGCCCAGCATTTGAAGAGACAATAAATAGTAAAGTATTTGTGGAATACACTGGTGCAGGAGAGTGAAAGAAAACTGGTGTCGCTGAAGGGGTATGAATGGAGAACTGGACCTTGTTGGGAAAGTGGAATTTCAACAGGCAGAGACAGAAGAGGTCGTTCCATTCCAAATAAGAGCAGCATCAGTAAAAGTGTGAAAGTTGGGAATGTACTGGGTAGGAAGCAGGAGGGGCACAGAACAGGCAAGAAGACAGTAATGAGGACACAGCAGAGGCCATGTGAGGAAAGTGGAAGTGTAGAAGCCCGTGTGAAGACAGCAGTGAAGCAAATGCACTGAGCTGTCTCCCAGAGCAGTGTTAGACCATGCTGCGAGGGTGCCAGTCGTGGCACTACTGTTTACTGGTTGAGTGATCTCAGACAAGTTCCTCCACCTCTTTATACTCCATTATGTATAAAATGGGCAGTGTTACTACCTATCTGTAGCAGTAACTGTGAGAGATCAGAATATACTTCCCCCAAACATGAAGGATTGTGAAGCTGAAGACAATTAAACAGTACATGCAGGAAAGCTGCCAGATCTCCATTTTCTTAAAAGCAGAACATAGATTTACAAAGATAAAAGGTATCCCATTCCCCTTCTACCAGGGAGAACAAAGGTTAACTATTGAAGACAACTATGGATCCTTACTAGGTGGAGATGGCTGCAGAGGAACTTTACCACCAAGTGTTGCCATGTGATCGGTTCTGGTTCACAGACCTAAGCAGAGGTGTTG